CGCCAAAGTCAAAGATTCACTGGTTTATAATTAAAAGTCCCACGACAGTAAATCAGTTTCAACATATTTACATTTATTATGTACTAACGAAGAACCTAGAAACCTGAAAATTTTCACACATACTAAGTGGACCCTGAGGGTGTACACCTGGCTATTATTACTTATCTATGTGTGCACGCGCGTGCGCAATACGCATCTTTTTGTGACGCAAGCTAGTGAAAATCACATAGAAAAAAATTGGTTCCTTATGTTATAAATAGAAATCACATTAGAAACAAAAATGCGTTCTTTCCTGTGTGATTCCTTATATCACAAATATAAATCACATAGAGACGGACAGACACTCACGTGCATGCTTGCGCGATGTAAACCTGGTTATTATTACTTATACACATGCGTGCGCGCGTGCGCATCTTTATAATAAAACAATCTCGCAAAAAACATATAGAACTCACAGACAGACAGATATACATGCACGTGTGTGTGCACACGTGCGTGTCTCTGTATGTGTGACCACCATAGCTCCAAGAGAAAAGGACCTGAAATTTTTCATGCACATTAAGTGGACTCTGAGGGTTTGTACCTTGGTATTATTACTTATCTACGTGCGTGCACGCATGCGCGTGCACATCTTTTTGTGCGAAAAACCACATAGAAAAGAAATGGTTCCTTGTATTACAAATTATATGTGTGCGTGCGCTTCTTTTTTAATGAGGCAATCTAATCTAGCGAAAAACAACGTAGAAAAGAAGTGGTTCCTTATATAACAACTTCTAATATAAGGAAAACCAGTGAGTTTTGGTAATAGTGCATTCCAATAATGACTTTTATATCATGTTGCATGGCCAGGTGGTTAGGGTACTCGACTCGCAATCTGAGGGTTGCGGGTTCGAATCCCTGTACCACCAAACATGCTCGCCCTTTCAGTCGTGGGGGCGTTACAATGTTACGGTTTATCCCACTATTTGTTGGTAAAAGAGTAAGCTCAAGAGTTGGCAGTTGGTGGTGATGACTAGCTGCCTTCTCTCTAGTCTCACACTGCTAAATTAGGGACGGCTAGCGCAGATAACCCTCGTGTAGCTTTGCGCGAAATTCAAAACAAACAAACAATCTTAGCAATAAACATATAACCTAATATTGCTGTTAAGAAGCTATGTGCTGGAAGTATAAAATGAAATGTATAAACTACAAAATTGGTAAAAAATTGTTTCTTTCTAATTTAGAGGCTCCGTTAATTACAGAGGGTTGTTCTTATTATTTATGTTTAAAATCGGAGGACAATTCAATGGGAAAGTTACCTTACAAACAGACCATATCCTGTAAAGGAGCAACAAAAATGTATAGGTTATACTTTTATGTTAAAATGGGTTCAGAATACACAAACTGCCATAGTCATCTAGAATAAATCAACCTAATAACCCGAGCGAAGTCGGGTACTTTCGTTAAGATATAATAAATGCAAATATGTTGAAACTGGTTTACTGTCATGCGGCATTTAATTTTTTTTAAATTCAGGATTCTAGATTCTTTACTCTTTGAGTTATGGAGATCACATATATATTTTTTCTATGTGGTTTTTCGCTAGCCTGCCCCATAAAAAGATGCGCACGCGCGCAAGCACATGGATAAGCAATAATACCCAAGGGCTCAACCCTCAGGGTACACTTAGTATATGTGCAAAATTTCAGGTTTCTAGGGTCTTTCCTCTTGGAGTTGTGGCAGTTACACACAAACGCGTTATTTTATTATTATAGATTAAAATGTTATTAGATTACAAAATATCGTGATTTAAGAACGTTATATGTTAATATTAAATACTGTTGGCGATGGTACACGGCAATACTAATGAGAGTATGATGCAAGGTTATATACTATAAATTTATATTTATATCTATATTAGATACGATAGCATTTTTTTTACTACATTCAAGCCTGACGAAAAGCGTTTTCTCTACTCGGAACCGTGTCTAAAACTGTAAGATGTATAAAATAGTTTAAAACTGTTGTGTAATACATAAAATGCTTTTTTTTTTCATTTGATGCTACTGCACTTGCACGTTTTTCGTTTTCTTGTGTGTAATAGATGCTTTAAGGAATTTGGTGGCTTACAGGGTATTGAACTTTGCCAAAGTTTTTAGTATAATATTAATGAGAATGTTAACTTAGAGCAATCTTTATTAAAATAAGTACCGCGGATTTAGTCACTAGATGGCTACAATAAATTTGGGATGTCGTTCATCTGATTGGTTAATTCTTAAATCAGCAACTCTATTGGTTAAAAGTTTAAAACACTATATTTAATTTTTCAACGCACATGGAGGATTTCACTATTTCAGTATAGTCTACTGTTAAGGTTAGTCTTTTAATTTTTATTTATGGTAAGTTAAGTTGAGAGTTAAGCATGTATTTAAAGTTAAACGAATTCTATTTTAAATTTGAAAACGAGGAATCCACATTTCAGAAAATAAAACTTTGGAGACGGCTTGAATGGGTAACGAAGAAAACTTTTAATATTTTAAATACAGACTTTTCATTACCCATTCAAGCCGTCTCCAAACTATCTTGTAAATTCTAGTTTTGTACTCACGTTTAATTTAAAGTACTTTTTTTTTTCTTATTTAGATACTATTATTAAATTATCGTAATAAACTTTAATAATAATACTCGTAGACTAAACTGAAGAACCACCGGACGGTGGCTCTTATTTATTTTGTTTTTAACACACTATAATTTCATAGGTGATAATAATTAAACTAGTAATACTAATAGCATAGGAGAACATTTTTATTGCTAATAATGATAAAACTATTAGTGATGATATATTTTAATAATAGTAATAGTACTCTTTTGTACCAATGTGCCTTAAGAATAGTTTAATTTTACTTTAGACTTAGATAATTTAGTTGTATATTTGTGTAATGTTTTGTCCTTGCACTTATCGTCATTGTTAATAAAAAATAAATCATACCCATAGCTGTCTTACAGTTACAACTTACTTCAATACTTATGTATCACAGCTGAAACTTGAAATTGAATGGTATCTCAACCTCAGTGTTAATGAATTATATATTCTGGTCTAAGTATGATTATGACAGGCATCTAAGCCATTTTAACTTTGAGCTTGAATAAACTTAAGTCATTTTCAATTTCATTTACATCATGTGCAGCAATACAGGTTTGAATTTAAACAATGATACAAGTAAAATTAAAAAGTAACAAACAAAGTTTAAAATATATAGTATTTACCCAGTAGAAATTTAAAAAGATAATTGAAAGTAGAACAGAAATTGTAACTAGTGTTAGGTTGCAATTAGATATAAAGTAAGTAGAATGAATTTTAACATTGTGGTTGTTGCTGTAAGTGGTTTTATGAAAAAATTATATTGTATGCAGTCTTGAAAGGTAACTTTGTAATCATTCGTACCTTGTAGTTGTAGTTGTCTATCATTTGATTATTCAAGATAGTGCACTGGTCAAACCTACCTTTATATGTTTGCATACGTTTTCTTGTGTTTTATTGTTAACAAAACTTCTGTTGACATATTGTGTCAGTATTATAATATGTATAGCTTTAGTTGACCAAGTTCTATTTAAATTTTATCTTTTTACCCTTATTTCAGTCTTTGATCTGTTTTGAATGTTTTATTTGGATTTTTATATTAACCTCTTTAACTTGCTTTGTTCTTTATTCACCCAATATTTATTGTGAGATTACACAAAATGCTAATTTCATATATGTACTAATTTCTGAAATCCGTATTTAAAATTGTAAGTTTCTTTTTCTACTTTAAAAATGGTAAAATGTTATCAGATAGCACTATCACAATTTTTATCATCATTGCATGGTATATGAACATGTAGCAGTTTGTTGTACCTAAACATACATGCACTGAATAATCAAATGTCAGTTGCAGAAGTTCTTAGCATTTAAGGACAAAAATGGCTTGTTGGCCCATCTGGGTTGTCTCATCTACTGAGCTAAACTATTAAAAAATAAAGGCCAACTGTTATCATTCAAATATTTATCAATACTTTCCTTAAACTCCCTTGAATTTACTGCTTCCACAACATCTTGTGGTAGCTCATTTCAAAGGCTAACTAGCCTGTTAGGAAAAAGAATCTTAGCAGAAGATGATTCCTACCCTGCCAAAATATAAATTTGTGTCTTCTAGTCCTGTCATTCGTATTATTAAGTAAAAAAAAATTATGAATCAACATTATCAATTCCCTTATTCTAAATACTTCAATGAGATTCCCTCTATCTCTTCTTTTTTTTTAAGAGAAAACAATTTTGGAAATCTTAACCTGTCATCTTATGACAACCTTTCCATCCCAGATATCATTCTAGTAATCCTCTTCTGAACCCTTTCCAAAAATTCAATGTCCTTCTTAAAGTAAGAAGCCCAAGACTGAATATAATACTGCAAATTCGGTCTAGCCATGGCCTATACAATAAAATTGTAATCTCTGTAAACTTTTATTCAACATTCCTGTAGATACAACTTAAAATCTTATTTTCTGTACCACTAGAAATAGCATGTTGCTTGCATGTCGTAAGAGACAGATCAAACAGAATACAATACTGTTAAGTTTATTCCCTTCAAAATTATACTTATAATTCAAATTATGATAATCCACATGCATTATCTTACATTTATTATAATTAAAAGCCATCTACCTTTCATTTGCCCAACTCATCAAATGATCTAAATCCTTTTGTAAAGCTGCTTTATTTGAATAAATTTCAATATCAGGTGGTTGTTGCTCTAAATCTAATGAAGAAATTATATTGCATGAGGATTTGGAAGGTAGCTTGCATGTCAGTTATAACTTAGTTGTCTATCATTTGATTATTCATCATAATTCACTGGTAAAACTTTCATTTACATTATATATGCATTAAGTTTCTAATACAGCCATTTTTAATGTATATATGCTGTTTCTTATAGATGTGGATTTTATTTTATTTTTTGATTAGTTTTAAATGTTTTCAATTTAGTGCAGGCCTTCAGCAATGAATACTGAGAATCCAGAATTGACTTGTACAGTTGTGTTTGAAGTCATTGGGCAGACAGGATCAACAGGAAAACGAGGTGTTTACCAAAATGCTTTCCTTTCACTTTATAGAAATGAATTCCGGGATATTCTGATTAAGATTGAGGTTGGAAAGTCAGTTTTCAAGTATATTATGGGTGATATAACCATACATAAACGTTTTCTGAAGGATGGGAAAGCAACCATATATCTGAAAGACTACAAAGTTCAGTTGCTGTTATCCAATTGCCCCCCTAGTAAACTTGCATATTTTCTCAAAATCCTTTCAGCAAAGCTGCAGTGTTTGAAAAATGAAGGAAAAGTGAAAGCTCGGCAGAAGCTGCTTTCTGATAAACCCAAATGTTTGGAACAGATCAGTCCACTGACTTCTAAGGATATAAGCACTCTACAGAATATTTCCAAGCAGAAAGAGAACATTCCACTTGGTCTTGAAACTCCAAAAAGATTAGGGAAAAGAAAAAGAGAACAAATGAACTATGAAGAAGAATCCCCACAAGTATGTGTTGATAGTGAGAAGTTATCTTAAAATGAAAATGATACAAATGTAATGAAATACCTTTAAACTTACACCATGCATGTACTTACTATATATATAAACAAATTTTCACTATTTCAAGAAAGAAAAAAATGACCCGGGAAAGTTTTTCTTCTCTGTATATTTTGTTTAGCCCGTAAAAATATAGACAAATTTTATAAATATTTAAAAGTAATATAAGTCTTAGCTGTTAGTAAAAATAGTGTATAATGTAGCACTTGACAAATTAAATTTTTCATATATATAATTATTTGGGCATCTTTTCAAAATGTTTTTGTATTCCAGTATTTACAAAACACTGTTTTGCTTAATTTTGAAATGTATATATTAAGTTTATAAATATCTTAATGCAATATAATTTGGATATTTCATGAAATCTCTTCGTGTGACATATGTTTTAAGATATTTGCAGGATTGGATCTCAAATTATAGAAACTCTGGAAGAATTGGGATCCATTGGTAGAGCTGAGCTATTTAACTGATTACCTGTGAACAGTATTTATATTGATTAGTGTTACATAAAATAATCAAAATTATGATTAAGTTTACTGTCATGAAGATAATCAACTGAGTGATGTTAGGGTTTCCAATTATTGCAACTTTTCAAGTAATGAAAATATTTCAACCAAACTTGCTTTGCCCTGTCTTTGTTATGGCTCTCTCACTAATGTTTAACCAACAACAACTTTTTTGCTTGTACGTACAATAGTTGAAAAACTACAAATATGTAATTGATTAATGAAGCCATCAGTTAGTAACTACTAATCACCCACCACTAATCATCAATATAATATAATTTTGTCTAGAACTATGAGTTATCTTTATTGATTTTTTTTATTTGGTCTATAGGTAAGTTTAATAGCATAGATTTTAATAACTTTTGTATTATTTAAGAAAATTTATGTACAGCACTGTAAGCTTTTAAAATAACTGACTCAAGGTATCGGATTGATAAGTAAGGTATAAAAATGTACATTTTCATGTAGCTAAGAAGGCTTTGCCCTCCATTTCGTGTGCAAGCAGTTGTCAGCAGTGACACTGGGGCATAGGTTGAACACTGCTTAAATTGTATCATGTACCGAGGCTCCTAACAAAGGCCAAAAGATCATAAAAAGATATTCTGAATTTTTTACTAGGGCATAGAGTATTTGTATTTTTTAGATACATTTGTATATAATAACTTTTATGAACTAAATATAGTCTTATAAGTGTTACTACTTATTAGGTTTGAACTAGGGCAAGTATAAGAGTGGTGTAATATGAACATAAATGTGACAGTGATTGGCTTCCTAAAAGCTAATTAGATTAGTCCATATAAGTAATTATCCAACCCGTTTTAAGTGTCTTGTATGATAAAGGTTAATGCTTGGGGTTAAGATAATTAAAATAGTAATACTTTATTAATACCCAAAAGATTTTCCTTTTTCTTCTTCTTCAGAAACATGTTGCTGTACAGAAGTACTTGAATGTAGTTCAGTTAACCACTGAGCAGAAGCATGTACTGAAAGCTGTGATGAGTGGAAAAAATCTGTTTTTCACAGGCAGTGCAGGCACAGGTAAATCCTACCTGCTGAAACGAATCATTAGTGCTCTCCCTCCCAACCATACGGTTGCCACAGCCAGCACTGGGATAGCAGCTTGTCAGATTGGAGGAATAACTTTACATTCTTTTGCCGGTAAGTGACTTTTAGATATCATCATTAAGAGTTTCCTATAGTAACAGTAAATATCCAAGATAAAAGTAATGAATATTGTTAAGAAGTTGGTTAATCAACATTCATATACAGTAGCTATGAAATGTAATTCCTGATGAATATCCAATGAACATATTGGTAATTAGATGCTTTCAAAGATTTATTCATACCTTATTTAGATTTTGCTAAGCCTAAGAATAGTGTTCAATGTTGATTTCTTTAAAATAACCACATAAAATATGTTGACTGGATGCTCTAGCCTATCAAGGTCACCATCATCTACAAAAACAAACAACCAAAAAATCAGCTGAAGTTAAATTTAACCCTTCACATCTGTATACTTGTATTACAAAACTTTCAATCTATTCTGACTTTGGATGTTTATATATATAAGCTTTGTTTAATTAGTTTATTAATTTTAGAAATGATTATATCTTAACATCAGTTAATAACCTATGTTAACCCTTTATCATCTCCATCCTGGTTTGTTGTGGTCAAAGCATTGCTATGGTAATGTACAATAAATGGTCTATGGACAATAAGGGGTTAATAATAATGGCTGGAGACGGCTTGAATGGGTAATGAAGAAAAACTTTAATATAAAGTTTAACATAACAGCAAATGTACAAGGTTTTGTCATCATCAGGTACCTTTGCTGTTATGCTGCAATATATAATGAAGTACTTTGTTATATGGTCAAATCCCAGCTGCTTTTAGCCATAAACAATGTGTTATTGTTTAGCACAATGTTTATTTCACAGATGTTACAAATAATGTTAACAGTAATGTTGAAAATATACATGCTAAATTATTTAGAGTGTAATTGTTAATTTTAAGATGTACTGTATGGGAAAGCTTTTTCAAAAAAGCTTTATTTGCTTTGAAAAAAGGCACAAGATATTAAAAACAGTAATTAATAATTCAAAAAACAAATATTATTTTACACTAGATGTTAATATAAAAGTATAGTAGAAAAAGGAACATCTAGATTAAGTGCAAAGCTATGCAGTGTGCTGTCTTCCATAGGGATTGAACCAAGAATTTTAACAATAAGAATTGAGCTGGGTGATTTAATCTATTACCTGTGAGAAGTAATTAAATTGATTAGTGAACTAATTGATTAATCAAAATTAGTGTTTTCAATTATTACTATTTTTTATCATTCCAACAAGATTATGATTTAATCATTTGTCCCAAAAATATTCAACCAATTTACATGGCCAGGTGGTTAGGGTACTCGACTCGCAATCAGAGGGTTGCTGGTTCGAATCCCCATCACACCAAACATGCTCGCCCTTCCACTATTTCTAATTCTAAACTGCTGACTAAAGGGGAAACAACTGTTTGACAAACCCACTGCCGACATTTTTTTCTTTCATACTTATATGTACCATGGTTTGAGAAACACTGTACTAATTGAATATAATCTATTAATGAGGACATCAATTAACCGATCAGCAAACACCACTAATTGCCTAGCTCTAATTAGGAACATTTGGTATTAAATTAATGATAAGGTTTTCTTGGTGTTAAACAGATGTAAAAGATACAAGTTTTATATGTTAGAAATAGTGTTGACTTTTTTTTGGATTATTTTAAAAATGGCTTCTTTTTACATTTCTTTTTTAATAGGTGCTATTTTGAAATCTTTGTGTCATAGTCTGAGTTGTTAAAAGTATCATATGAGCAAGTATTAGCAAGTTAATTGTTTAGCTGTGTTGGTAGAGTATTTGCTTGTAGGGCAAGTGGATCCAAGCTCAGATCCTGCATACAAGAGACACAAAAACTCAAATTACCACAAATGGGACCCAATGTGGAGCAAGATATGGTGTTTGAAGATGTTGGAAAGTGCCTTACTAGCAATTACTAGCGGGTTAATCCTTCAGTTCAGTTGCTAAAGAGCTTTACTTGTGTGAGTGAGGTTTCATTCCTTCTTGTTGGAATTGTAGAAATGACATAATCACAATAAAAACTGCTACCCAACATGACTTGAGGACAGGCATCATTAGTGGGAGGAGAAGAATGTGGTAATTAGTTATTGAAAAGAACCTTATGAAGAAGCACTAGCAGGTAAACTGATTAGGTCAGCGTTTAGGCTGCATACTTATAGGGCAACTGGTCCTGGGTTCAATTCCCACAAGTGAATTTTTGTAACTTTAAGAGAATTTTGTCTGTTCAAGTTCAATTATGAATTTCCTATTAGTACTTCAATTTATATTAGAATTTTTTTTTTCAGGAATTGGATCTGGAAGTTATTCTTTAGAACAATGCATTAAACAAGCTCAACGTAAAGAAGTTGCTCAGCAGTGGAGAAGATGTCAGCATCTTGTTGTTGATGAAATATCTATGGTAGATGGAACATACTTTCAGAAACTTGAGAAGGTCGCTAGAGTCGTTCGTAATAATGACAAACCATTTGGGGGGATTCAATTAATCCTTTGTGGAGATTTCTTGCAACTTCCACCAGTCTCCAAAAGTAATGAGAATCGTTTGTTTTGTTTCCAGGTACGTTTTTTTTTTATTTTTTTTTTACACAACACTTGTGCAAAATTTATTAAATAGTTTCCAAATACAGTAAATAACTACTGATGTATTAAACATTTTTGGAAATGTTTCATTGAAATTTTTTGTGTGTCAATTTTACAAAATTTATTAAAGTTTATAAGTGATAATACACATAAACCTTCGTCATTGCTAGAATTGGTGCTACCATTGGATTTGCTTCTTTAAACCTTTGATTCATCCATTTTTGATTCCCACAGCAAGTCCTCATCCACTGCACTGGACATGCAACATTTTTTTTAAACCTTTAATAATGATTTCTGCTGTGACTAACTGCCAAGCTTCTATGACCCAATTGTATAACAATAGCACAGAAGGTTTTTAATCTTTCCAGTTGGAGTGAGTACAAGATCTTCAGACAACACTCATTGTATTTCTTCTTTTTTTTAAATTAAAACGATTATTCACCACCACGTCAAGCACTTGAAGGTGCAATGTCATTCCTCCAGGAATGATAACAAGATTGGTGCTCATTTTTTTAGTTGTTCTTTTACACCTTCCGTCAAATACTCTGAAAGAAACTCAAATGGAGAAAGGATCATGGAAGTTTGCTGCCAGCATAATCTGTTTATTACAAACACTTTCCACATGCATAGAGAATCCCAGATTTATACATGTTATAAATGGAATAACTTAACAATGGAACCCAAATTGACTTCATACTAACAAGGATAAATAATAAAATCAAAGTTTGTGATTCTAGAGCAATACCAAACACTGTCGTAGATATAAGTCATAAAATGGTAATGTTGACCATGAAAGAACCAACACAAGCTGGAATAAAGAAAAGAAGGTTAGTAAAGAAAATGTAATAAACATGAAAAAATTTGCAGAAATATCGAAGAAGAATTCCATGCTGTTCCTGGAACAACAGGAAAAGTACAAGAGGAATGGAATAAGTTCAAAAATATAGTTATGAAATATACCTTGGACATTTATGGAACGAAAGTGAAAGGGAAACCAGGGCAAAATATCTCACCTTGGTGGACTGAAGAAATAAGGGAAATGGTAAAAGCAAAGAAAGAGGCTGAATAGCAGAAAAATAAAGAAAGCCAAAGAAAAATCATGGGAACAATTTGGAGCAGACCTTGTGACAGTGGAGAGAACAGCAGTCAGAACTTTCTACAAAAAAGTTAAAGCAATGTGGAAGCGGGATATAACCCAACTGAAATCATCAATGATAAGATGGTAAACCCATACTTGATAGTGAGATGTTACTCGACAGATGGAGAGATTATTCCAATGATTTGCCCATCCTAAATGAATCAACAGATTACAGAGGAGAACAAAAAGCAACAACACTTAGTACTATCAGAAGTAAAAAAGGCACTTAAAACAGCTTCAAGTAATAAAGTAGCTGGTGAAGACGGTTTGCAACCCTTAGTACTATCAGAAGTAAAAAAGGCACTTAAAACAGCTTCAAGTAATAAAGTAGCTGGTGAAGACGGTTTGCAACCCTTAGTACTATCAGAAGTAAAAAGGACACTTAAACTAGCTCCAAGTAATAAAGTAGCTGGTGAAGACGGTTTGATTTCGGAACTGATCAAGGCCATGGGAGAAGCTGGTACAAGATGGCTAAGAAGGATTTTCCAAGCAGCAGGAAACACCTGAAGATTTGCAGAGAGCAATTATATTTCCCATATGGAAGAATAAGAGATTGCACAAGGTACAGAGGGATATCACTCCTAAGCCATACAGGGAAAACCTACGCTAAGGAGGCTACGACCAATCATTGAGCAACAACTTTTGGAATCACAGATGGGTTGTTGATCAAACAGAAGCTGCACAGACCCTATCTTCACTCTGAAACAACTGACAGAAAAGAGTATAGAACACAACCAAAGCCTGAAATTAGCCTTTGTCAACCAAGAAAAGGCATTGGACAGAGTAGATCGATCAAAACTGTGGGAAACATTACAGAAATATGGCATAAGTGAACACCTAATGAGAGTATGTCAGTCTGTATAGATTAAGTATGAGCACAGTAAGAACTAAAGCAGGGGCATCAAAGTAAGTAACATCAGATGCGAGACAGGGATGTGTACTACCACTCCTCGTCATCACCTATATTGACAACATCTGCAAAGAAACCAACCCATGAGAAGAGGATGACATCATTGAGCTCCTTTTTGCTGAAGACCAAACCCTCATTCCCAAAAGTGATAGAAAACTACAGGACCATCTGAATCAATCAGAAATCAAATGCAAAGAATATAATATGAAAATAAGTACAGAGAAGATGGGAGTAATGTCTATTGGAAGACAAAGAGAAGAAATAAAAAATTTGGGTGAATAATACTGACATCAAACAGATAGAAGAATTGAAGTATTTGGGAAGTGTATTTACAGAAGATGGTAGCTTTGCCGTATCCCTTTACTTGGTTGAGAAGAGGAGGTTCCTTTTTATTTCTACACAATCTCTTCCATGATTTTACATTTTCACAAGGATATTAAATGCAAAAAGATGCTATCGTACAATGCGATTGAAACAGCAATTTACTAGTATTAAATTTGAATGTTGATGCATTGTTGTTCTCAGCAAACATACGGGTAGAAAATTTCTTTATTGTTGAGTACATATTGTTAAGTTAAAAGATAAACTTCATTGAAACTTCCTAATCGCAGTTATATTTTTCCTTTTTGTCGCAACATAGAAGAAAATAAAGTAATTTCAATAAATAGCAACATTTTTGGAAGTAGCTTCTAGTAAAATACCTAACAAAATTGAATGTATGCAAATAAAATGTGCAGTGAATTTTTCAGGAGGAAGTAAGTACACATTATATTTGGGCAGATACGGTAATAGTTTTTTTTATAGGAAGGTTTCTTCAAGATTTGACATTAAGATTCTTTGTGGGTGATCCTATTCTTTATTTCATTAATAAATCTCCACACCCCCCACCCAACCCCCAAAAATGAAAAAACCATTTGTCTCACGTAGGGTGCATATGTGTTTGGTCAAAGCATATACCACATTTATTATGTCTTTAACAAACAAAATTATGATGAGCCCTCAAACAGCAGTATGTTTGGTGTAAAAAGTGGTAACTGTTCTGTTTCAGAAGGTTAAGATATACATGCTGATGTGTATACATATCTTGTTTGTTTAAATATTTGCCCTTTTTCTTTCTACAGACTTCAGCATGGAAAAAATGTATCCAGATTAATATGGAATTGACACAAGTGAAAAGACAGAAGGATCTTAGGTTTATTAACATTCTAAACAGTATTCGGCTCGGAAGGTTAGTTGTTATTTTGATGTGGAACTGAAATTATGCTGAATGGTCATTTTAACTGTAATTGATAAGATCAACGGCGATTTAGATCAGGCTGAAAATATATGTATGTAGAATAAGTCTGCCAATAAATATTCTGTTTTAAGAAAATATAAGTCTGTAATGTAATTACTGAAATTCATAGACTTAACCTACTTTACAAAAGTATGTTAGCTATTTTAAGTCTAATGGCATTAATCATTATACAATAAACCTGTAAAATGATGTTAGTACCTAGAGACTAATGTTGTTAGCTCAGTAGATAATAACACTAAAAAAACAAAAAAATAATAAGCAAAGGAGCTCTTTTTCAAGTTTAGAAAATTAAATTCTTCAGGCAAACACCATTCAGTGACAGATCTAAATACAAAAAAAAATGTAACGACATTCCTAACACCCAAGGAAAGTTTTAGGTCTGCAACCTTTATTATTCCAAAGTATAGTGTTTAATGTTGTGAATGAATAAATGAATGAATGAGAAAATACAAAAAGTTTGGTGGCATAAACAGTACACCTGAAGTTTACAAAATGGAAAACTGTAATAGATTCCCAACGTCTTGGTATACGACTGCCTTCATGACTCAATATATTCAGTTATATTTTGATATCCTTGGTTGGAATTCTTGTTGTGAATAAAAGGGGAAATGCTCAGAGAAACCTTGAAAAATGTTGGTTAGAGCAACTAGATAAAAGTAAATGCAATACAGCAACAGAAGTTCTGGTTTACCATCTAGCAACACGACTTCTCCATGATGGCTAGAATGTAACTAAAAACAATTCTACACTAATTACTGTTAAAGTAAATACATAACAAGGATGACTTTGTATGCACAACAAAATTACTTCAGAGTATTCTGATTTTTGTCAGTAGCAACTACTGTTTAGCAACTAAAGCAGCTACAAAATTATTTTCTTCCTTTGTAATAATAAATATTGGATGCCGTTTAAAACAGTTGAAGTTTGTGTTTTCTTAACTCAAAAGTACAGATATACTTTCTAAAATAACAAAGTAAAACTTCAACTTACAGTTTAAAAAGTACCTCTATTTTGAGTAACCAATTTTAAGTATTTAAATAAATGGTATCTAATTTATTATGTACATTCATCATCACTACTGATGATGTTTTTTAAATAAGTATTGAAGTCTAAAGTATAACAGCAGATTTGTGACTATTCTTTTGTGTTTTTCATGACATTTAACACCTTTATAATTTAGGCATCAGGACAAAAACAATAGTAGAATTATCTATTGAGATAGTTGCATATGTAGTTAACATATAAAAAAATATTGTTTGATAAACTTAATATCTAATTCTGCTACCTTTCTTCATGTAGATGTCCAGATACCATAGCCAAGATTTTAGCATCTTCCTCTGACCACCAGATTGAACAAAATGGTATTAAAGCAACAAGACTCTGTACTCATAAGGAAGATGTAGATTATATTAATAGATCTCAGCTTCAAGATCTTCCAGGTAAAAAATTTTGTAACTTTAAAGCCATACATTGTGTAAATATAGAACTGTTCCAATAATTCGTAAAATTATGGCCTGTCCAATGTCTGTTTTAATCCTGCAGCTATTATTGGGTAACGAACTCACACATCTTTTTGAAATACATTTTTCTGAATTACTTATGCACTAAATTACTTGTGGGTCCGTGATTTTGTTGGATAATACAGGTTATCTAGTAACAAATAACATACAAGTCACATAAAAAGTGTTAACCAAAGTATCATCAACATAGCAATTAACCATATTAATTACTGCTGGGGTTTCCTATGTGTTTTGCATAGAAAATGAATGATTTACCAAATTTTTTCTTCCTCAGTTCTTTATATTGGGCATTGTGAGAGGCCAAAACATAAAATTACTCCATGTGATGCATTATGTGAACCCCACCAATAACAAACAATATAAAAGCATGTCGAAGGTTTAATCCATTTAAACGTACTATGACCAGTGAACACCTATGAGGTATCAAGTGTTACATTTCAAAATTTAAGTAAAAATAATGATAAACTATTTTAATAATTTTTCAAAAAATTTCAAAATTGATATTGTCATTTTCTAACATTCATAGTATAATTCACAAATAAAAATGCTCAATCTTACATCTGCGTACAACACCAAGAAGTCTTGTCTGTAAAGAATGCACTTATTGTTTGTTTGTTTTTTAGAATTTTTCTCTCCGTTCTAAACTATCTGTTTTTAGTTGCTAAGAAACTATCATCCCTTACATGCAATTATCCAAGTTTTTTTTTACTCGTGATTTTTCTTTCTATTTCTATAAAGATTTGTTATTACAGGCTTCTGTTCACATTTCGTGTTGTTGTGAGGTTATAAAAAAAAGTGGGAACTACTACTAAAGAAGAACAACTTTAAAAATATTAACAGGCAAAGTTTAAGTTCCATTTGATAGAGCAGACTACATTAGTAACATTGATATAAAATGGTATGAGAAATAATTTACAGCTTCGTAAGAGGGTGATTAGAAGTACATCCTGCAGAGAAGAACAAGGGAATGTCGTGTGTAGTTTAAAAAGCTTGGGAACACTATTTACCTGGATTTTAGAGTGAAAAATATGTAACTGAAAGGAAGCTGTAGACATTGTGATGGCATTATTAGCAGTTCCAGGAAGTTGTGAAAGACTAAGCAAGTGAATGAGGAGTTAATTTTTGCTCAAGAAATGTTAATTAACCTTTTTTCGAGGTGTACTGTCACCTTTATTTGTTATTTATATGTCTGAAGGGGATATGTATACATAAAGACAGAAAATGAAAAAAACTTAGAAAATACTGTGAATAGAGGAACAAAGTTAAGTAAAGACAAAACTTCAAGTTATGAATATTGGTAGAATTAGAAAGAATTTAGAAATATCTTTTGAAAAGGTAAGACTGAAACAGGTGGCGAAGTTCAAGTATTTTGGGAGTGAATTTTGATGAAGAAAATGTACAACAAAGAGAAATAAATGAATGAATGTTAATGTAGGACTTTGGTACCCTTTGTTTAAGGATAAAAGAGTGCCAACAAACAGCAAAATCATTATATAAATAACTATTCTGAGATCAGTTTTAACATATGGTTCAGGTTGATCTATAAGAAAGAAAAACTTAATCAATAAAGTGGCAGGAATGAAGGTATTGAGAATGATAAGAGAAGTGATAAGGCTTGATAAAATGAGAAATACGAAAATTAGAGAATAGTTAAATGTAACATTAATACTAGAAATTGTTGAAAGAAATTAGTTGAGATGGTATGATCATATAAAACAAAGAAATATATAAATACCCAAAGAATTTTATGAACTGGGAACCGCAAAACCTTGATTGAGATGGATAAAAGGATTAAAAGATGCTCTTGAAGAGAGATGAACCTTCTAAACTGTTCTACTTTCAAATGTAGCATGCTCTTCGATTCCTTCCATGGATATCCCTAGGCACAGTGACTGAAAATATTTAATTCTAAATGATGTTGGTGGTGAGGAACAAACTGCCGATCTGAGGAGTTGTCTATTTCTTTATACACTTTTCTATTTTTGAAATTGTTTTTGTGTTAAATTAATTATATTTATTAAAAAGACAAGACATCAGGTAAGCCTTATTAGGCTTAGAGAGTATGGTAGCAATGGCAAAATATTCCAGTGACTCAAATATGACTAAAAGCCTTATTAAATGTTATGAATGGATTAATATGTTTATTGTATTATGGGTAACTACTAGCTGTTAAATCTTAACTAATAATTGCGTAATATTTTGATCTGCAGTCAACCACTGAAATACATATCTACAGTTTTTTTTTTATCAGTATTCCTGTGTATTGTATTTGGTATTTACTCTTCTCTATCGTAAATTGTCACTAAATCATAAATGTAGAGTAAATCGAATAGTTGATAACCTCTGACACAAAATATATATAATACCATGTTGAATGTCACTCTGTCAAAAGATTGTGGCATGTTCACTTTGACCCCACCCATGCACATAGCATTTATATAAAAGATGTTTGAAATGAATAGATCATACTTTTATTTCATAAAAAAATTAATAAGAAACTTTACAAGAATGCAAAATATATATTGTTGCCAAATGTCTAAGTGCCAAAATTTACAAGAATGTGTCAATTAGTAATTCGTCTATACATTTCACCAACATTTTTTTGGCCTAGTGTAATATCCATTGTATGCAGACAAACCTAAAAATGATAAAACAGAAGCATCTTTTAGTTTGTTAAGTGTAACTTTACATTATTTGTTTCTTTTTTTCTGTAGGAAATTCCAAGGTCTTCAAAGCTACAGATAGCGATCCCTCTCTTTCACAGCTAATGGACAAACACTGTCCAGTGTCAACCTCAATAGAACTAAAACAAGACACCCAAATAATGCTTACAAAAAACTTGGATGTTCAACGTGGGCTCGTGAATGGAGCAAGGGGAGTCATTGTTGGGTTTGAAAACAATGTAGAAGGTAATTAAGCTAAAACATTGACTTCCAAAACCATTCTGAAGTTGGTTAAGGTAGAATAATCTTGATTTCAAAAGTAATGAGAAATTAAGCTAAAATCTTTCTTTTGAAAGCAATGCAAAAGGTATTTAAGCTAAAATATTTTGTTGATGTAAGCTTATAATCTGGGTGATATATTAGCTCTTCTTACCCACATTGTTTTTTGTTTTATCTCATTCATAGGTTTCTGTGATAGTGTTAACTGTTTTCAGTTGTTTCTATTTTTTTAATTTAAAGACTTGAAACAGACATCCTTTCTCTTATATATTTGAAAACTGTGCAAAAAATAACTAAGCCAGAATATCGACTTTGATAACAATGTAAAGGGTAATTTGATTGGAATTGTGGGATAGTTCAGAATATGATAATGTTAAAATATAAGCTTTTGAAGCAGTGAAAAATGCAATGTTTAGGAATGAAACGGACCGTGGGAACTTTATATACATGCTCAGTTGAATCACGTTCCTTTTTTTAACAGTCTGTTTTATTTTTGAAACTACTAAAGATTTTATAATCATTGGTTCTTACTATTTATTAAGTGATTATAGTGTAATTAATACTGAATTATAATAGCATAATTAATTGAATTGTGTTATACACGAGATTTGTCACCTATTTTTCAATATTCGTAATGCATACTGGAAAGTAACAGATACTGTTGTATGAATTATAACTAATCATCTGAAACACGTTTTTTTTTTTATCCCCAGTGTTTCACTCTATCATCTTTATCAAAAAATAATTATACCAAAATAAGCCTAAAACTAGATATTTTATGGTTTAGACATTTATTATAATTATTGTTTTTTTTTAATTGATTGCATGAACTATTTTTTCTGATTTAAAAAAAAATGATGATATATTACTATACGAGGAACAACTTGCTGCTTTGAGCTTATATTGGTTAAATTGTGTATTATTATGTGTATCACAGGCCTTCCAGTTATTAAATTTGTGAGTGGGGCAAAGGAAACTATTCGCTATGAGAAGTGGACTATTAAGGCCGGAAGTGGAATCTATATATCCCGCCGACAGTTACCAATAAAGCTTGCTTGGGCTATGTCCATTCATAAATCTCAGGTAATCGTTACCTTAAAGTATCTTTTGCTTTTATTTTTTTCTTTACATATGCCTTTTTGATTAATAATAACATACTAATACTTTTATAATTGTAAAACCAGTTAAAACACCGTCATCGAGCAAGCTTAAACGAAGAAATAAATTGTGCTCAAATAATCTTCCAACTGAAACTTCATCTTTACAAAACCATTAATAAAAAAATAAAACTAAAGCATTTTTACATCTTAGACATAAGTGTTTAAAAAATTGTTGATATTTTACATCACTGTGTATTTATTTTTTACTATAGTTATATTGATTATTGAGTATATAAAATCATCACATTTTGCTAAAAATCCACTGTCTTGGGAACTTGGACTAAAAATTATTAAGATAACAAATAAGACTATTTTAACCTTTTGTTTAAGAAAGGACATTGACGTATTTTCCCATTGTTGAAATCTTGATTCATTTTATGTAAATACATATTTCTGTATTTTCAGGGTATGACACTGGACTGTGTAGAGATATCTCTATCTCGTGTTTTTGAATGTGGACAAGCATATGTAGCTCTTTCTCGTGCTCAAAGATTAAATGGACTTAGAATTATTGACTTTAATTCTAAATGTGTGCGTGCAGATCCTGATGTCTTGAAGTTTTATTCCCAACTACAAAAAGATTGCATGTTAGTACAATCACGTTTAGATAATCACTTCAGACTTTAAAAATAAAATACATACATGCACATATAATAAGCTTTAAACCAAGTTCATCACTGAAAAATGATTGATTGTGTTTGAACCACTTATTAAATATTCATTAACATTTTAGCAAACTTAATTTACAATGTCGGAACAAATTATATCTTTTAATATCTGAACAAGTTTTACATAATTTAAATTACTTAAACAGTTTAATTAGGGTTAGTTTGATATGGAATAAATTATTTGTAAAGTATTGTGTAATCTAGTCTAATGCCGTAATGTGTACTGTAAGTTCTTTTTTTTTCTAATTTTACCTGTATACTGAGTGTGTACTGTTGCAAAAACACTTCTTACTTGTGTGATAAGTGTAATACCATGTGCCACTATTAATTGTTTCTTGTAATGTGCATGTGTTTGTATCTATATATATTGTGTGTTTTAGTTTTGGGTCTAGTTTAATTATTTTAAAATTAATCTACTGTCATGGTTGTTAACTTTAGATCCATAGAAGGCATATTACAAAAATACTAAAAATGTTAAATTGGCAAACAAACATTTTTTACTATGTAAACATGACAACTTTTCCCCAACAGTATAATGTTAGGTAATAAGTTCAAGTTCATTTCACAGAGGTTTAATTTATTAATATAGTAATTCATACATTATACTGATCATATATTTTGTAAAGGTTTTAAAATTTTGCAGTCAGTGAAACACAGCATAAAATAAGATATTTTGTAGAGTTCGGAATGTTTTTGTAAGCTGTAAACTGCGTCCTCTATCAGGATATTTGCATAACTCGGGTATATCGCTCAGTGGATTCTATTATGTAATATGTACAAGTAAAGTAGCATTTGTACAGATATCATATCTTTGCTCATTTGTTTCATACATACAATGAATCATGTTATTTATTTCTAGTTAAATTGGTCAAGTCTGTTTTTGGTAATATTTTGTTGGACATTTTTGAGCATATTCCTCTTAAATATTTTTTTTAAGTGTGACGTTCTACTAGTAAGTTTATTTTTTTAATTTGAAAAGGTGATTTATCTATTCAACATTATCTCTCACTTCCATGTTTTGACAACATTGTAGAAAAAGTACAAAGTATTGTAATAAATACTAACACAATATTGTCTTCTATTTTAAAAACTGTCTCCGCTGAAGTTTTTTTAGAAATTTTTATTTCAACCATTTAGTAATAGCTTACATAACTTGTCGTGTGAATATCTTTTAGAGTAAAACAAAACGTTCAAACTAGGTAGAACTATTTATTTTGGCACTCAACTCTCGCTACAACGGACATGTGTACGTATAACTTTCTATGGAAGTTTGGAATCTTGTACCACCATTAAGAAATGGTCTTCCCGTTAAAGTTCTGAAACTTAAGAGTCTTTTTGTTTTTATTGTGTATTTAAAAACAAACGTGACACTGTGAGAGCTACCTCTCTATATCCGTGGAAGTGAAAGAGTTCGTGTGATGACTCTGTACAGAATTTAGTTGTTTTTTTTTGGTAAAATGTTTTTCCTCTGAAGCAAACTAGATAGACTTGTGATGTTTATGGTATAAATTTATTTCATATATGACTTATGAAACATAGAATATCAGTTGTGCTTTATTAATGTTTATTTTTAATAAAAAATAAACACTATATAACTATATCATTTTGGTACAAACTAGCATATTCAATGAGAAAATATAGAAATTTAGGGGTTTCCCACTTGTAGATGTGAATTCAAGAACCTTCTGTGATCATAATATACAATCTACAAAATTTATAAGTTGTTTTATTTTCAGATATAAATTGTCAAAAAATGTGCATATTGTATTTATTTTTCTTCTAATTGTACGTAATCCATTTTCTATACGAGATGTCTTATATGGATAATCACAGTTTGTTGATCGTACAGGTTACATAATGTATGGACAACACGGGAACATTTGTTATTAAAGGCTATCTTTGTTTGCTCACACTTTATTTTTCATAAAATTACTGACTCCCTATTCCCCTCTTAAATTATATGTCCAGCTTACCAATTGATCGAAGCCATTTTGTAGTATCTCAACATACTTAATACAGCTAGAAATAACCATCAAACTTTTGACAGTATTAGTATCATTATGTAAATAAGCAAGGACAAGAACTGACCCTTGGTGCATCCACTAGTAAATGGGGTCCAGTTTGACTGGACTCTATTAATAACAACCTTTTTTTTTCTCCCATCCAACTACCCTACAATCTAATTAACTAATCTTTCCCAAACACCTGGTATGCTTTTTGTAGCTCATCTTTTTTGTTGTGCCACACCCTTTCCATCATCCAGATAACAAATTACTAAGGCAAGATTTCCCTTTGGTGAATCCATGTTGGCTTTCTTTTATCTTATTTCATGAAATAATTTTGTAAAGCCTTTATCAAAAACCAGAATTTTTCAAACTTAAAAAGTAGCATTAACTGGCCTATAATTTTTAGGGTAACTCTTGTCACCCTATTTAACAATAGAAGTAACATTAGCATCATTCCAGAACCAAACAGTAGCTTTACAATAAGTTTTGAAGTTCGGAAAATGTTGTTAATTATGCATTGACTGAAGATGGGCTGAAATGTTAGTTTCAACTGCCTAATAAAATAACATTTCCACTGTAAAGTTGATCGCGATATTAGATTTAATCAACCAGTGGGATCTTCATCTCTTAATACTCAAAAATAAATTTAAGTCTCAGACTGTATTCACCATTAATATATTACTGTTGTAAGAGATATTATCAAGAATAAAGAAATGATGAAAATGTACCGTATTTTTCCGAATATAAGACGGACCCTTATTTTGAAGACAGAAGTTTTGGGGGAAAAAAATACACAGTCGCATTTGAAAGATTTTTATTGAACAAAAATTCAATTTGATACTTGAAAAATTTGTATATATTGTTCTAAACACAAAAGAGCTCAAAACATCAAAATAAGAAAATACT